CTGTATGTCTGTATGTTTCTTCAGTGGTTGTGATGGTCATCGCCTGGATGTTCCTGTATATTCAAACGTTTGTACAATGTCTGTATGTCTGTCTGTATGTCTGTCTGTACGTCTGTCCGTATGTCTGTCTGTATGTCTGTATGTTTCTTCAGTGGTTGTGATGGTCATCGCCTGGGTGTTCCTGTATATTCAAACGTTTGTACAATGTCTGTATGTCTGTCTGTATGTCTGTCTGTATGTCTGTCTGTATGTCTGTCGGTATGTCTGACTGTATGTCTGTATGTTTCTTCAGTGGTTGTGATGGTCATCGCCTGGGTGTTCCTGACCGGCCTACTCTCAGTGGTCTCCCGCCATTACAAGCAGTGGTATCCCAAGAAGACCTGGTGTGGCACCAAGATCTGGTTCCAGGTTCGTCAAGTCGGGAGATATTAGCTGGGGGGTTGGTTTTTTGTTTGTTTGTTTGTTTTAGTAGAGGTTTTACGGCGCTCGTAACTGCATAAGGTCATATGAGGGCCAGAAGATTAGAGGTGTTACAAGAGAGTATGTGCGTATTATACAGTCATACGGACAGACATACATATATTGTACATATAAAGACGTATGGACACACAAGCATAAAAAGTCACAAACTATAACAAACATAAAAAAGAAAACGGCGAGATAAGGACGATAGATGTTTGATAGGAAAGAAGAAGCAAACCACACCAGGGCACCCGCCAACCACCCACGATGTGAGCTGCGCGTTTTAATTTTTGCTTTGAGAAAGTGTCGTTGGGCTTAGATCTAAAAGATATTTTCCACACCGTCCGTTCTTGTTTATTGAATCTTTTCAAGGTGATTGCTTAATAGTGCAATGTGTAAGCTTAATTGTTACGTGTACTTATAGTTACAAATGTATTTGGGGGTTTTTTTTCCTTTCTTACCATTTATGATACACATATATCTTCGCTGATACACGCAGGAGACCCAAATGTGATTCCCGAGTTAGGAAAAATTGAAATTTTGTATCGAGTGTCTCGGTCGTTCCTCTCAGATGCTGTATCCCTCTTAACCTGGGCTAGCCCTGGCAGGCAAGGTCAGAAGTCCGCCTCCTATAATAATAATGATGATTTAAGTATAATATATGCCCGACATGTACTGGAAAGAGTCGACCCTGAGCGTTGTCAAGTCTTTTACCTTTTTGATATATTATAATCGTTTCACATGTTGATTGTAAACAACCGTAAATGTTTTAACCCCACTGCTACTACAAATTTACAACAATTAAGATGGGTGGTTGATGGATGATCCGGTGTGGTCTGCTCCTCCTTTCCTATCAAACATTCGTCATCCTTATGTCTCCTCCAGTTGCCTTTGTATGTTACTCTCTTGTAACACCTCTAATCTTCGGCTCTTAAATGACCTAATTGTGTTGGAAGTGTTGTAAAAAATTAGTAAAACTAAAACCAAGAAAGAAGTGAGGATGCTTGCTGCTTAGAGCCTGTTTACCAGGCTCAACTAGGAATGTGTGGCATACTCTCTCACTCGGAAAAACTCTATAAAATCAACCTCTCTACCTGTGAATAACATAAATTACAATGTCTGTATGGAAGGAGAAAATCCTGAATATTACACCACAGACGCCAGATTACAAAATAAGGGACAATATAAAAATTACCAGCATGTCGTGAGTTTGTCCTTTTTAAATTTGGATTCATTATTTTCATTATTACTTTCTGGTTCTGTTATCTGTCCGCTAGAAAGAAGGATGTTTGGTAATTTGGTTGATGATATTTTGTTTGTTTGTTTTGGTCTAGATAATAAAAGTTAATCATCTTAGCTAATCTCTTGTGTACTTTCCAGTTGTACTTTCCTTTCGAAAAGCACAAGACCTTGAAATGACTGCTCTTTGATCGGAATGTTTAATGTTCATTTAAATTTCTGATCTTTCACCCCCC